CTTGTCTATTTCTGTGCTTTTTAACATTTTATCCTCTTACCAGGTTGAAGGTCAGCAGAGCTCACAAAGAAAATATTGTAATTTGTTTTGCTAGCAAACAATTAGTTTGCCAGAGACCCGCTGCTTTAGTACAGGCTTTATGTTTAACCCGATACTGATTTAGGATTCTGAAAAGGCAGCTTGAGGACAGTTGGAAATGTGTACTTTTTGAACTCATTTTAAGCATCCAGAACATCATCTGCAGGGTCTTTGCTGCCTACAGATTTCAGTTTACTTTTAGTATTCCTTAACTTTTGTATTCTTGTACATCATTTCATATACATTCTCGTGTACATAATTCCTGTACGTTTTCTGCTACAACAGGTTCTATATATACTTTAGTTTCTATTCCAGCTGTTGTGGCAAGCCCTGTGCACTCCACATTTTTCTCACACATTACCAAATAGTGCAAATCCTTTTGCATTCCTCTCTACAAGTCCAAAAGTGCTTTTGCTCCCCTCAGGTCTGCTGTGCAATCCTTTTCCCAGTCATTCACCAATCTTTTCACCTCCATCCAGCTTCAGCTGAGGGAAAGACAATAAACTGGGTATCACTTGACACCTGGGAAGCTGGCCCTCACTCCACCTTTTCCTAATTCTACTATTTTTTTAATGATGTCTGAAATACAGACATCTTCCTCTAAGTACCATTTACCAGCCATTTCAGATATTAGTAGTCAAGCTCCTAGTTTACCCTTTATTTTGTTTCAGAGAACCCTTTTGTAACCCTAAAGATCCTCCTACAGAACCATTATAGTCGTGGCAGGAAAGCAGACCGATTGTAGGGACATGGAGCAGAACAGAAGGAAGAAGTCAGTGTGGGTGCTAGTCACTGGGACCTCCTTCTGGAGAGGTCAAGACTGCAAGAGGCAAGCTGTAAAACTAGTGTGTCAGGGGAGGTATCTCCAGTTCTTTTTGAGGACGAGATTGGAATTTAATCAAAACTCCATTAGCTTTAATATCTGCTACCAAATCAAAAAACAAGCTCAAAAAAGGAAGGAATGATTTGATGTCTAGAAATGGAATAGGGAAGAACATTAATTAGGCTTGATAAAGCCTAGTTCTAGCACAAGAAGAATATGTAGAAGTATTTTTCTAATTATCTTAGTTAACTGGGACGTAATATTAATTCTTTACATCACTAACATTTCTAATCTTTCCATGTCTTCCGCACCTGAACAATATTCCTTTTTTCTCATTCTGAATGATCAGACTGCACTTTCTACTGGGAAACACCAGCAAAATGGCAGATATTAAAAAGAAATCCAATCCAAATGACAGGATGAGAAGGATTTCTAGAAGCTGTTTGTTGAATACTGTTTATTTAAATAGTGTTTTTTAAAAATAGTAATTGATCTCAGATATGACTTGATGTTAGAAGGATAATTGCATTCATTCATAGCAAGGAAACAATTGCTTATGAGAACACTTTGGTAGTAAAGTGGTAGTAAGATGTCTTGATCTAGTTTCAATTCAGTCCAAGCTGTTAATAGGCTGCTTTCTGCAGAAGCGTGTCTTAATCTAGTAAATTCAGATGCTCTGCATGCATATTTTGCATGAGCAAACTTATGTATTTGAAGTCAGTGAGCTTAAACTGTGCAGCATAATTAGAGGAATGAGCCTCAGGTTGCTTTGTCAAAACATTTTTTAATTGCTGGATTTTAGGATTATTGGATTAGAAGATTAGATGGGATGCCTGGAAATCTTGATTTGGAGCATTAAGTAAGGCTTCTCATGAATGAGTACAATGGCTCTGTAAACCTGAGTTTGAATCAGCTGCTGTAATAGTTGTAGATATTTTCATGCTAGGACAATGCAATACTATGCTTTCTCTGTTCCTCCCTACCCTTTTTTAACTAATTTTTAATTTTAAGAAACCTTTTGACCTGTTATAGTGCCTCTGGGCGTGGTCTGTGAATTACTAAGTTTCTTTGCCCATATGTTTCTAAAGGAGTCTTGACACCAGACATTCTCCTTTCAGTGGATGTTTATCACTTAATTACATTACAGTTGGTAAGCACAGGTACAGTTTTTATGTCATTCTTACATTTACAAGACACTGTCACCAGAGCATTCTGCATCAATTAAACAGTTTCTCTGAGTCCCAAAGATGATAAACTACAAGTTTTCCTTTTTTTTTTTTTTTCAGTATAAAGGTGGATTCACTAGCAAGTGCAGAGTCTTCACACATGGCACGCAGAAAACTGCTCTGACATTCTAGTTTATCTCACTTTGTTGGGAGACATAGTTCTTCACTCCTAAGGTTAGTGAAATAAAGATTTCCGTAGCTGCTGGCACTCTCTCTGATCAGTCCAACATTCTGCAGACCACAGCTATAGCTATGAAGGACAAGTAAGATGTATATGCTGTGTGTACATCTGTGAATGAGCAAAAAAGTAATGGCATGTTGATGTACAGATTGTTATACAGGGATGGATACTTTGGGTCCTGGCCCAAGTCCTCTTAAGAAAAATGCAATGAAGTTGGTCATGTCAGTGTTGCACAGAAATATCTGCTGACTTTTGCTGGGGTTCTCAACCTACGGTTATAGAGTCTAGATGTTTCAAATGGGATGGTTAATCTACTGATGTAGTGTTGCTCTTTCCTGAAATTATTTTGTAAGTATTAGAATGATGGCTTTAAATTATAGAATTTAAGAAGTTATTACAAATAAGCTGTCATAAATTTTGCAAGGCAAACAGAACAGGAATTGAATTCAGAAGCAATATAGAGGCAACTGTGGTAGCCATATTCCCAAGCTATTAACAGAGTAGGTTTTGGCACCTCAAAGTTCTGTACTCCCTAATCACGTTGTATTTGGCTGTTAAAGTGACTGCATCCAAAACAAAAGCCAAAATACTAGAAGTATCCCACTACAATGGAGATCATGGTTGTCTGAACAGCAGGATTAGTATGGGAAGTTGTAAATCATTATTTTGTTTTCTGGAGTAGAAGAAAAATACTCCAATGAAAGTTCAGCATCTTTTTCATCAACTGGTATTTTTGTCACTAATTAAGCCAACTTAATCATCAACAGAATTTTCCCTTATGAGTCTGACAGTCTTCTAAGGATTTAACATACCTGACTTAGCAGAATTTTATGTATTGATAGTTTTCATATTTTCAAGTTGAAATTGTAGGAATAAAAGAGAAAGCATTTTATTCTGGCTGTGGTGATAGTGCTTTACCTAAACCAAGTAGTTTCACTGAATTCCCCAATATTATCCCCAAATATCATGATAAGAACTGCAATGATCTGTATGTCAGTAGCACCACCACTATCTTTACATCAATAGATTCTTTTTTGTGTCTGCCACTGGCTTTGGAAAGCCAGTTGACTTTTTTTTACTTCTTTGTCTCTTAAAAGACATAAAAGATATCATTCCAAAGATTTTTCTATTCTTAGAGATTCACATAATAAAGAAGTCTAGAAAGCTGTAGTAAATATCTGAACTTTGTCATTTAGATTATAGAAATATCTCATTAATCAAAAATATTCCTGTCAGAAACAAATTCAGACTTCTTTGGTATTTATAAATCCTTTGCTAAATAAAATAAAAATGAATTATAAAATCAAGTTTCTTTTGAGCCTATGTCCTTGCAGCTGCACTCCACTTTTAAGATAAACACATCAGTTATTAATTTAGAATGACATCAGCAAGCAGTCCCCAGCCTTTAATTAGTATCTTTTTGACAAGCACATAATCTTTCTTGTTAATAAAATCTCCCTTAAAGTAGTTTATTTCTAGTCTCACTTGCCATTGTAAGCAATTGGCATCAAATCTTGGGTACTTTGTAGTGCTTTCTCTGGAAAATGCTGGATAAACAGTTACATTTTACTGAATAGAAACAGCATTTAAAGAAAGTCACCCTCAATCCAATAGCAGAGCTGGAAAGAAAATCTAGTTTCCTGAATGCTCTATTGTGCAGTTGACTAAGCTATGATGCTGTCTCCTGTCTCAGTATCCTGCAAGGATAGGATTAAATTCTGATTCCTAGTTGTTGTTTCTTCTTTCTGCCAATATCAAGATCTTAGAAAGTTATAGTACAATACTGTAAATATAATACCAAGAACAAAGGTAATCAAGATGACTGAGAAAGGTCAATCTTGCAGTGCAATTTGAGATCCCAAGACCAGAAGTTATGTCACATCTCCAGAAGTCATGAGTAAAAATAATGTCCCAAACACCATGGGTTGCTCTAGAACTTTCAAAAGGCATCAGCTTTTATTGTGACTTCAGAGTATTAACCTTAGACATGAGCTATTTTAATTTGCTTCTTTGTTCTATTCTTTTTTTCTTCTAGTTAAGTCAACACTGAAGAATTAAAGAAAAATCATGAGTCAGGTATTAGCAGATAAGGAAAAGTGTAAGAAAAATATATTTCAACCATCCTCAGTAGAATTTCAGAATTATTTTCTTACATGCCTGCAAGCTAAACTGGAGGTTTTATTGCAGTGACAATTCCTATGTTTTTGTGGCAATAACTCCATTCCAGAAACCACAAATTAGAAAACAGTTTCTTACAATGTAATACCAAACAAAACACAACATGATCTTCCTTCTTTCTCATGCACGTTAACTGTAAAATGTTTCTTTGTTCAGAATGTGGCTCTGATTACATTTCTCTATCCAAAAATAAACACAGTGCAGAGAAGAAAGATACAAGAGAGGAGGAAAGCCTGTCAATGGGCCACCCTCAGGAAAACCTCACAAGATCTACTGTCTGTCTCTGCAAACCATGGAAGAGCTGAGGAAGTGATCCCAGCTTGGTGGTCTTATTTTTAATTAAAACAAATGAGGCTCTTTCAGCTGCTGCAGATAAATATTTGATGAAAAGAGACAAGGACAGATGTCAAAGACTGCAGTAAATAAAGAACAAGACCAGAAAAGCAAATGTTACAGCAGCATTTTATATACAAAAAAAAAAAAAAAAAAAAAAAGTTTACAAATTTCTGTCAAATGTCTTCCCATCCAGGCCTTAATTTTACTAGGATCTTTCCAAAAGCAGGAAAACTAATTGCTTGTGATCACTTTGATAAAATAGATTGAAAATACAAATGCACGTAGGTAAAGAAAAACATAAAAATCACTCTGTTGCACAATATTTAAAAATAGTATGGTGATTATACATTGGTATAAGCCAAACCATGAAAATGCAAATACTAGAGTTAAGAATGAAGATGTGAAATACTTACTTGATTGAAGACGGTTAAGAAGAAAAAGTAAAAAGTTGATTGCAGCGCATCAGGATCTACAAGCAGATACCATAGAGATGTTTAGTTTAACAGTAGGAACAAATGAAGGAAGAGCAACATCCAGTGACATTAAGCAACAGCCAAGTGAATTCAGATGAGAGATGACAAAAGCATTTTGAACACTGAGGAAAAGCTACCTTGTACTGCAGTGGGCTTTCCATAATTTGATATAGTAAAATCAGTCTTGAGTTCTAACCACTCTGCTTTGGTTCCATTGAAGTGGACTTATACAATCAGTAACTTCAAGAGGTACTTTGTAGCTTGCAGAAGGTAAAAATAAATTATCATAAATGTCTCTGCTGGCCAGAGTACTAAACTGTTGGTCATGTGAGATACCTGCACATTCCCATTGGAAATTTCAGGGGGAAAAAAAAAAAAAGATAAACTCAGGTGCAAAGTAATCTGACCAGTAGATTTTAATTTGAGGAAAAAAAGTAGGTTCACAGTAAATGATTAGATTTATGGTGTTCTGTTCCTTACAGTGGGTGAAAATTAAAGATTCATGGATACCTGTTCTTTTATTTATATACCATAAATCTTATATTTGGAAGATCCCTCACAACTGTCTGGCATGTCATGAGAAATGTTGGGCTCCTGGATTCTTCACATGGAGCAATATCTCAAACTGAGCTACTTGATGCCTAGAAATCCAAAACAGATGAACTGATTTCTTCCACTGAAAGAAGAGTTTTGGGAAATGCTAAAAGGGATAAGAGACAGTAAAGTCCCCCTGATTGTCCAGCAGATCTTCCTCTTACTCGCCTAATGTTTAGATCTCAGTTGATTTAAAAATCATTATATTTTTCATTTAATTTAATAGAGATAAGGAAGATAGACCACTTGATAGAAACAACTACATAAATGTTAAATCTGTGTGCAGTCACAAATTTTATTATAAATCCAAAATCTTTTGGAAGTGCAGAGATTCATTAGTTATATAACACTCTGGTTGCCAGAGTTTCCAAATTTGTTTTCCTTATCAAAACAAGTTAAAAAACACAGGATAACATAGCAAACAGTTTAATCAGATGAATGAAAACTTCAGATAATCTAACCTGTTTAAAAGAAATCTTATTACAACAATGTACAAATTTTCTCTCCTTCATCTGAGTATGTGACACATACTCGTATCATAGAATCACAGAATGGCTTGGGTTGGAAGAGACCTCAAGGATCATCAAGCTCCAACCCCCATCCCGCATACAGGGCCACCAACCTCCATATCTAACACTAGACTTCTAATACTGTGTAATCAATGCAATATAAAGAAAGGCCTCCAAATACAGATGGGCAAGGCCAGGCCAGGCAGAAAGAAGAAAAGTAACTATAACTTCTTGCTTCTGTTTTAAGCCATGTACCTGTGATTGCATGTAATCCTACACCCTTTCACATCCTGAACCCTAACCACAAATGTATGCTTTTCTTGGATGTATAATTTGAGGAGTTCTGTTTTATCATCTGGCTTTTGTGTTTGAAGCATCTTAGAATTTATAAAGAAAAAAAAAATCAGAATTGATTACACTTGAGAAGACACCATTATATACTGCTACTACACCTAATTCATATATTCCCTGCAGACTGGGAGGCTGTCTCTCCCCTCCCACTTCCTGTGCTAAAGTAGCAGCTATATTCTGATGCCCCTTTAACATTCACATTTTTCCTGAATTTATCCCTGCATGCATTCATCCATGCATTCCCTACTCCCACATTAACTTTTTACAGTCTGATGATGCCTGCTTAGTTCCTGGATGCAGCAGGAAGTAAAATATCTGAAACTGCGTGAATGAAAAGCAGGAAGTCTGGCCTGCAGTAATACCAAGAGTCAAACACAAGAGGGCTAAATGTTCCCCTTCATACTAGGATTGGCAGAGGAAGATAAACCACGATCTAAATTAGTAGCTGATTCCTAGTCAAAAGCTCAATGGTTAACATGGCACTCAGTTACAGATGACCACTGGTGGCTGGTACTGAAATCATCATTGACTTTGTATTTCATAACTGAATTCACACCAGAGTTCAGTACTGCCTTATATCTTACATAGCAGGAGCTACAGATGCTTAGAAGGACATGAGAGAGTTTTACATCTAATCCACGTCTTTTGCAAATGGCAAATGCCTAATCCCACATCTCTTACCTACAAAGGAGTTAACAGGTAAGGAGTAAAGGAATTATTCAATAAGGAAAGGAGCAATATGATTGAAAGTAAAAGAAATCACCTAGGATCAAACATAAAGAATTCAATAGCAACCCCTCTTGGCATGAATTTACTTGTGATCTGATGGAACCAACCTGACAAGCTCCCAGAGATAACAGTTTGTCAATTTCCCATTTCAAAGGCAGTGCGATAATTGAAAGCTTCCTGATATCCACATGGAAATCAAACTTTCAGCAAACAACAAACTTTCTGATAAAGGCCTACGCTAAATTCCATTGAATTCAATGACAAATCCCAGCAGCTTTCAACAGAAGCTGAGTGAAGCTCAAGGTGAAAAGCATCTCTGAGAACAGTTACAGTTAACTAAATCCCCAGCTAGGTCAGAAAAATTGTGAGAATATACTTCACATAAGTGGAGCTTGGGTTGGGAATTCAGGACTGACTTGCAAGGATCTCTGACACTGAGCTCTTTAAGAGACCCTTAAAGAAGCCCCCAGTGTTCAGCAAGGTCACCATGTCCCCAGTTTTCATTGTATCACCACATGCTGCTAAGAACTTCGTAGCACCTGACAGTTCCCCTCTTTATTTCATCTAAAGCAATCTACGGGCTGTCAACACAAGCTGCAGCCAGATTGCTGTACTGGAGTGTAAACACGGAGTTGGTTGATGAAGCAATAAATAAGATGAGCAGGGAGAAAGGGCAAGAACTTTTTCAAGTGCAAGGAACACAAAGAAATGTACAATGTCAAATGTAAGGCCTATTCAGCCCAAGACATGAGAGAAGCATGGAATTGATGTGTATGCCATCTCTGTACGTCTCCAAAGCTGAACATGATTCTGCAGCTAGAATGTGACTCAGCTTCAGGTGAAATACAAGCAAGACGAAGGAACAACTTATCTACAATTTCTTTAAAAAACAAACAAACAAACAAACAAAAAACCAAAAAACCTGAAGGGAAGATCCCAGAATAATAATCATTCCCTTCTCTCCTTTACAGATGAAGTTAAGGCCGTCAGAAATTAAAGAACTTACTGAGGTTATACAGCACTGTCAGAATTTGAATTCAGAGCTTCTGAGCCCAACCTCAGTGCCTCAGCTACACATTAATTTTCTTCTTTGTATTCCCTCACAGTCTTAGGCCATGTGGCCACTATTGGTAAAATGAAAAACAGGTGCAGATCCTCGAACAGATGGGAGACCAGCCCTGGCTGATCTCTGGAGGATAATACAGGGTTGCTTTCCGGCAAAGAGGATTCCAAAGAACTGCAGAGGCAACACCCCTGCCCTAAAAGTGAAGCTGTTCTGCTGCACAATAAACATTATCTCTACCAGCCCAGTAAGTGGGAGTATTGAGGCATGCACAGTCTGTTGTCTGTCAGCAAAGAACAGTGCCTTACTGACCTCTTAGAACTGCAGTACTAACACTTTGTTTTTCAGGCATGCCTGTAAAGACTGGAGAAGACTTAATTGCAATTCCATTCTTTGCAGTAACTGCAGCCAACATTTTGCAGTTGCTGAAACATGAAGTTTCTTCCCTGGAGTAGGCAACTTTGGAATGTCTGACCCTCCAAAAATGCCATTAGTCATACGCAAAAGCTGGAAAAATCACTAGTAGTATGAAACAAATAATCCAGGTAAGAATAATAGTGTATTTATTCTAGATCCTTAAGTACTGAACCTCTTTGGTTCCCTGTTCATGAGGAACTGATAGCTTAGTCTGCAATATATTGCTAAATAAAGAACCTGAATTGCTGTCTCAGCAGGAGGGCGATAGAAAATGACTAACAGGGCAATTGCATAGTTCTAAACACAGGATGGATAGTGAAGATGCAAAGTAATTCCCTGCTTTGTGTGACCTACAGTTGTGATCTCTGTATGTTAAAAGATACATTTTCCCTCTATGTGTCACCTGCAGGTATACATCTGCCAAAAGGATTAGAGAAATCACAGCAATTCTCAATTTCCACAGATCCCCACAGCATGTACCAAACCCGAGAGGAGAGCTCTTGCAAGAAGACAGGATATGCTGTGCATTAGATGCTTCTGGTTCCAGCCTTTATTATAGGTTTCTCACTCTTAGTGCTGTGTCTGAGAGAGGTTAGTTAATCTCACTAAAGCTGCTTATACAGCAAAAAGGCATGTCCAAGAAACTCAAATAGGAACTGACCATTTCTTACATCTCTGTATAAATTGGGAGTACCTGATCTGCAACTTCAGATAAAAAAAATACTGTTAATATACATGTTTTTTGCTCATGCTAGACTGTAAATCAGAATAGCTGGGAAGGTCTATCTTACCCCAGTTTCAATTAGGTTTTGAAGGGAACAATTTTTCACAGATGACACTAATAGAATTTAACAGTAAAGACCACCCAGGACACTGGGAATCTGGAACTCCTTGGCCTCAGGTTTTCTGATTAGTTCTCAGCTTCATGTGTGCTTTTTGAGAGACAAAAAGAACGCTTCCTTCATTTTGAACTTGGATTTCTCTTTCAGCTGAACATTTGTGAAAGCAGCCGTTCCCAGAGTTGGAAAGTTCCAAATCCCCTTTTGGAGCTGAGTGCGTGCGTTATTGAGTTAGTCATGACACCACCTTACAGAGAACAGACAATGAGTTTTGGATTTTGTGAGTACCTTTCCTCCCTGTAAAGAAGTGCCCTTCCCCCACTCTTTTGGAAACATCTGTCTGTATTGGAAACAGAAGATATGATTTATTTTTATCGCCATTCATGTCAAACAGGCCAACAGCCCCAGTTTTCTGCTTTCAGATGTAGCAAGAGGCAGGGGAATCAGAGTGAAGCACCATTTATGTCAGTGCCTCCTCCCTCCTCAGTTCTCTTATCTTATTTTCATGGCTACCTACTGTGCTATCTTATCACTCAACAGCCTTGCAAAACTCTGCAACTTGACCCCTCCACAGAGAGAGGTGACCTGCTTAGACCTCCCTGCTCTCTGCTGCTGCTCCCTGCTCTCTACTGCTGCTCCCTTTCTTGCAGAGCAAGTTGCTCCCTCCTTTGTTATTTTACAACTCCTTTCTCAGTGCCTGTCTTACCTTCTCACTCCTCCTTTTTTTCTAGCTCATAATGTTTCTTCACTGAGCGTGCACTCAGCTGTGTGGCCTTCTTGGGGTATGCTTAATTTCTCACTGTCCAGCCTGCCCTTTGATGTCTGATGAAGAGGGATACATCTTCTTTTCCATCTCTTCACATGTGCCTATTAATTACTCTCTTCAGAGAGCCTGTTTACTGACTATCACTGTGTTTACAATTGAATGCAGTTAAACATTTGTTCTTCACAGTTTCCTCTCTTCTACACCACCCACCCAGTTTCTTCATTTCTTCCCAACTGTTGCAAAATGGATGTCTCCAAATCACTTTGTAAAGTCACAGATGCAGTGTACTTACTTTCCCACACTCACCCTGCTTTCAAGCACTACTTTTGCTTCACTCACAGAGAAATAAAGTCAGTCTTTATATTGGAATTTCTATCTCCAGCTGTCTAATAAAAAAGCAGCAGTGAGGCTTAACAATTTGACCTTCTGGTTGCACACCTTACCTTGTGAACTGGAAAATGCACAGACAGATCTGTAAGCTTCAGACTTCTGGCCTATGAAGAAGTAATATGAACTAAGTACAAAATAGAGAAGTATGCCCACTGAAATGAGAAGGGCATAAACTGTGTATGTATCTTCCTGGGATTAAGGGCCCTTGGGCAGAGGGGATTTTAATAGGATGGGGTGCCTAACAATTACTGTAGCAAACATACAGAAAGGAAGAATAACACGGTTGTAGTACAGCAACTCAGATCTGAGATGAAAATTCCTTCAGATGTCCTTCTCGTTCCATATGGGACTTAAAACATTACAAAAAAATGTGAAATAAATTTAAAACAAATGTGGGCTACATTAACTTTTTCTTTTTCCCAGATTATTGTCAATCCTTTGCCATTTGTATTTGGGAAAAGGAAGGAAGCAGATACCTCAAAGAATATAGGAACTGATTTATGGCAGGGTGTATGAAGCTCACCATGTGTGAGCATGAGTAGGAAAGAGAGAGAGGACGGCTGACAGTGAGGGACGTACAGCTGCACAGACCAACAGCGAAACAACCAGAATAATCCCAAATGACTTAATTTGTGTCTTGGCATAGCATCTGTACCTGTACAGTTAGAGATGGTACACGAGTTGCCTGTTGCTTTCCAGACGCAGCTTCTGCTTTTAGCACCTATTACAATACAGAATTTAAGCATGGGAACTGATCAGAATTTGGGCTGAAATCTTTTAAGGTTTGTAAGCAGCAGAGGCAGGTACTTGGAACCTGGAAGTTTGAAGCTTTCTTGTAACCAGTGTAGGTTGGAGACTGCATGTCAAGCAATGGAAACTGGAGGGAGACAGGGCAGGACAGACTGAACGAGAGTGGTGGTTCAGGAAGACCTATGGAAGTACGTAGTGAAAGCTCAGTTTGCACAGCCTCACAGTTAAAAAGTCAGGTGTTACAAAAATGGTAGTATTAAAGCAGTGTGCAGTTGTGGTTTTCATCAGTTGTCCTGGATATGTAAAATAACCAAGCCAGAAAAACAGTCAGTAAAGTGTAACAGATATGTCCTTATTTGTTTCCTTGTTTTGCTGATACCCCTGATGCTCCCACAGATAAATTCCGTATATGGAAGTATAACAAATAAATGGACATTTATTTTAACATTACCCTTTTAAAACTAGAAACAGCCAACAGACTTCGAATTAAAACCGTGGGCACCTGTCTTAATTAATCAGGTAGTGTTAGGGGTTAATGTGCTATTATATTCATTGCTAGATACATCAGCATTTATGTTTTTATCATACAGAAGATCAGTTAAAATGTGAGCTCTCTTCTGCTAAGTGCTGTCCTAACACAACTTTTACTCATATCCGGAAGACTTGCTTCCTTTCTTTGTCACCTTTAAAAGACAGTGCTGTGATACACTTTTCAGCTTTTGCAGGTGTCCACTGACTGTTCCAATGATGTTTCAAAATATGCTCCAAATTTTTTGAGATGAGGACTTTTTGTTCTTGCACACCAAGATTTTAGTCTGAGCGAATGAGGCCCACACATAAAATATCAAGCCAATAGATGTCCTAAAGGAATAATCTGATCTTGGAAGCAGGTTTTTTCAATATTCAGAGAATGTCATTTGGGAGTACTTTGCCGCACCTTATGCAACAAACAAAATTAAGCCAATAGTAAAGGGACAAGATGTTGATAGGGAGGGGACACGAGATGTCTTTTTTTTTGTGAAATTCATTTAAAATCTTTTTCAAATACAGAAAGAAGAAACCAAAGCTGATAGTCAGGAAAACAAAACCATTTGAACAGGATCGAGTGGCACAGGACTAGTCTCACCAATGTACATTTGCAGAGCAACCATTGCTCTGTTCTTTGAGATGCAGCAGATTGGAAGTCTGGATCAAAACAAACGATTAAACATTTTGGTTACTTGATGTCTAAGAAACATACAAAATATGACCAGTGGTTGCTTCTGATAAGCTGGTGCTTCCAGAACTGTTTATCTGCTCATCTACGGGTGCTGGGAATAAAAGGCTGCGAAATACTCTTTCACTGACATTTCACTCCACACATGAATTTGTAACTTTGGTGTGGATAACTGATTTTTATGTTTACTACAGAGTCAATAATGTTGATCAAATTTCTTTGGTCATATTTGAGTATTAAAGACTAAACTACTTTTCCACCACCAGTATTTCCTTTTCCTCTTTGCAAGCTGGATAGAGATGTGCACTAGTGCACAATTATGTCTCAACTTCTACAAGCATAACAAACCACTGAACTTAATGAATGTAAACAAGTAATCTAGACCAGTGTGTTCTGGCATTCCCCAAGTCTTCCTTAGCCATTAAAATATAGTAAGGGCAGACAGAAAGGGCCTCAGCAGGTAATAAGAGAGTTGTATCAAAAATCCACCTTATCAGTTAGCAAGAAACTGTTGAATTTGTTTTCAACACAGGTTTACTATGATGTCCATTTACTTTAAGTTGGATTTTTTTTTTTAAGAGCTGGATTGTTGAGCTTTCCTAAACAAATTTATCTTAATATTTCAGAGCTTTGAGTGGAAGATGAAAGGAGCAGAATTTGTTCCATCTGTATGACCTGGTATGTCTCGTGCTTTTCTAGGTCTGTGTCTAATTCAGATGAATGTAGAATTTTGAGCTATACTGCAAATTATTCTCTCATCTGTTCAATCACTTTTAGCAGCAGCTACCATTCCTACAGATGTAGCCTATGTTACTTCCTTTTGTCTCTATGCATTTAGGAAGCACTGTTAAAAACAGAGTGGATCTCTCTAGAAAATGAAATGGCTTTGATGTTCTCATCTCTCCAGTTTACCTGGAATAACCAGAATGCCAAAATACTCAGCACAGCCACTGACTTTCCCACAGATCTGCCCTCCAGGATCAGTTCTGAGCAACATTTTTAGATTTCTATCAGATTTTATATTTGAAATCATTTTTTTCTGATTTTTTTTTTTTTTTTTAATCAGTTCTTATTTAACAGATGCTGTCAAGCGCTTCAGAAAGTTTGAAAAGTTGAGATTAGGAGAATTGACAGAGATTCTCTTTACAACACAGATGATTGCAGTTATGGAGAGACTTAGGCCTGGTCTGTGCAGTTTATGTCCAATACAAACATTCCCAGGTGGCTGCAATCAAGCATCTAACCAGCTGATGTCATTCTGACCATGCACATGTAGTTGCTTGGGATATCACTCCAACAGTATATTCATGTTTGCACAAAGGGATAAACTCATGCTTGCTATGGCATCCATGTTGATGGGGGATTAACCATTCAGTAAAACAAATGTTGTAATGGTACAGAATGCTCTCTGCAAATGGCACCTGACTGCTCTTCCACAGAGAAGACCCAGAGGGAAGAGAAAAAAGGAGAATTGGTGCAGCCTCCTAACTGCACAACTTTCCCCCTTTCTGCCAGGTCCCATTCGCTGCAGACTGCAACATCTCTTCACCAGCACTGTCCCACCACACAGGACAAGTGGGCAGTGGGAGGCAAGGCTCCTCTCTGCAGGGCAGCCCTGTGCAAAGGCAAACTTTGCCTTCCAGGATTTGAATTGACTTTAGAGACTGCTGCCACTTGTTTTGCCACAATTAATGGGAGAAATTTTAACTCTCCCATAAAACATCCAGAATTGCCTTTTTAAATAGTATCTACTCAATGCTAGAGAGAGAAAGATGGGCTCCATTTTAAGACTTTCCCAATGCTTTAAGTTCACACACAAGAATTGTCACGCAGTATATCAGGTGCTCAGAGTTTTCTAGCAGCAGAATGTTATCTGCTAAGGCTGTCCTACATGCCTTTCTTCCACAAAAAACGACGACGGAAAAAAGCAGTAAAACAGAGAAAAAAAGGAAATGTAGAACAAAACAAAACAAAGGAATGAAAGACTGATGATCAGAAAGTGCATGTGAACAGGACAGCAAAAGCGTGGTAAAGACAAAGGGGAAAATGCCGTTTTTCCTCTCTGAAATACATTACAAACTTATGGGACTCGTTCAAAAAGAGAACAAGAGCGACTGCATGCTCAAAGGCTGGATTTAAAATTAGTAATGGAATCACTTAGAATTTAGAACTCTAGATTCAGCTGGAGAAGGCACCAAGGCACCACTTCCACAGCTCCTAACAGAGGTTAACATCTAAAACATATACTTACATAGCTGAGTCTCACATGGCCAGACCATGTTAGAAAGTTGTCTATAGAAGCACTGCCACATTAGAAAACTTACCAGTAAAACTGTGCCGACAAGCATAAACTAGAACTTAATCATTGCACAGGAAAGGCAGAACTAAGAGTTGGAAACAATGCTGTACACAGCAGCCAAACTGCGTGGCATACACCACCTCACTGACATATATGGCATCTGTTTGCCTTTTTCTCTCGTGTGCTTTTGCCAGGGATATTTTCCTAAGAGGAGGGTTGAAGAAAACAAAGATCTGAAGTCTGCTTGTTTTGTGGGGCTTTTGGCTTAAGCAGTTATGAATTAGACATGAAGATTTCACTGCTGCCTTAATATGATTTGAAAACTGTATACTTCCATTTTCATTCATTCACACTTGCAAGAAGAAAAATCGTCAACATTCTAAATTCAAGCTTAAGCCACGGACATTGGTTTTCCACAAAACATGCACAGCTGCACCAGTTAATTCAAAGTAACTCAGCACTGTGAACTTCAGTATACAGGAGGAGCATAGATGCTCCAAGTGTGTCTTAGGGACAGGCAAAGTAAAGGTGCAAGGCGCAGCAGCAGGGAGGCGCCCATGGGGAGCGGCCTCTGCTCCCACTGCTGTTTGCCTCTGCAATTCCTTCTGCACCAGCAGCGAGTGCAGATGAGGTGCTCCTCCAACACTCCGTGAGCCTGCTTTGAGAATGTATGTTACGTTCTAATTGGAGAAAGGTAGAAGCAGTTTTGCCAGTGCTTTTCAAGCAACACAGTACCTACAAGAGAGAAATTTAAAAAACTCACTGATTTACCATGTTAAAAAAAGATGGCACATTTATTGCTACATAAATGTTATATACATAGTGTTTTCTGTTACATTGACAGAAAGTTTTTGAACTTCTTGCTGCTGGTTGGAAAGGTTTATCAGCAATACCTTGAAATTTGACACAGGGTACAAATCTGCAATAAACCAACAATGGAAACTGGAGAACAAGATGAGAAGCAATTCATCTCGGACAATTAGCTCTTACAATACTCCATAGGTACTACACGGTATGCTAGAACCCTACTATGGTCTTACAATGCTATTGTAAATTTCTGATATTAATGAACAGGTTATGGTAAATAACCCTACATTTTTACTACCTAATATAGTAAAATAAAGTAAGAAACTTTTTACTGAAAACTTTTTCGATTTCAAAAATCTAGAAAGAGTAATATTTAGAATTCAAGAAATTTTCTTACAAGATTATTGTATAAAAGACTAGCTACAGTGAAAAATAAGCCAAATGTTTTTTTCTTTCTATTTTATGAAGGAAAGCTTCTGGGCATACTGCAAAGTCTAATATAGCCAAAAAGACAACAAGCTTAGAAGGAAAAAGGCCAGGCAGTGGTACGTGATCACTTTCACACGTCATAAGCAACAAATTTGTTTAGCCAATAAACACTGAAATGAAGAACAAGGCCACAGATATAATCAGGTGTTATCTGATGGTATATGCAAATTAAAGTAACAGAAATGAGTCCACTATTTTCACAAACTGTTCTGTTAGGAACCATTGAAAACGTGAGCTTAAATTCATTAGTTTATTTTAACAATCCAGCTTTTGTTCTTTCAAATTAAATGACTCCATAAAAAGTATTGTTTTGTTCCTGTTTTGTATGGTGAACCAATTACCAGTAATGAAAGATGCACTATATAAACAATAGCTCAGACAACCTTGGCTTAGGAAATTTCCTCCCATGGTCATTGCAGTGGAAGACAGTTTCCATGGAAGTTCAAAGGGATTTTAACCATTTCAACACATTTGTGACAAAGGAATACTTATGGACACTGTTCTGGTGGAGAAACATTTAATGGTTTAATGTTAATATGGCTTGGGAGGGGTTATTTGTTTGCATTTGATTCACACTGATTTTTCTCCACTGACAAGCCATACAAAAATGACAAGATAACTGATGTATACAGTAAGGAAAAATTGGTGACCATTGCTCTTATACTCCATTAGGTAAATAAGCACACCTTACTGGTGGCTGTGTCATCACACTACCTGCCACGGTGAATTTAGGATTTTACTATTCACCAAAAATACAGCCTGAAAAAAATCTCCTTTGTATTTTAATGCATTTTGTGCTTACGTACAGCTAACACTTTACATGTACTATATGTAGTACTTACTGCTCGGAAAACAAAGCAACTCTAACAAAGTAGATTCTCCCCACCCAATTTACACTTCACGTTACAAGCTTTACTATGAAGCCTAGAAGCCTAAAAAGGTTTTGTTTATAATTAGAAAAAAAAACATTTGAGGAAAGTCTGAGGGAAAATAAAAATCAATTTTTAAATCTACGAAATGTTATGGTCACAGTACTGCTCCTGCCTGGAGCCTGCTCAGGAGGCCCCTTACGGCCTGAAACACGGAGCTCAGTATGGAAGGGTAACTATGACCATAACTGTTCAGATTACCAGAGACCAAAAATAACATAAAAAAAAGCTATACCAAGGAATAGTTTCCTATTGCGTGGAAAACACTAGTCATATGGCAAAAGGAGAGGAAAGGACAACAAAAGACTTTTCCCTTCCTTTTTTAAGACACTAATAGGTATGCTGGGAATGCTACGGGTCGACGGTTGTCACTGCTTTGTTCTCTGAATGTGAACAGCTTTAATAAATGCTGGCATCCAGCTGAAATTGTATCAGCTTTTAACATGTTAACTTTTCCCTTTATATGTAGACCTTTACAGTTCCATAACAATAAATAAAATTTGTAGTTACAATGCATTTGTCAATTCAGTTTAGGCACAAGGCAACTTCCACAATGAGTGGAGAGATCACAACAGTCTCTGATTGTGCAGAAGCGACACACTGCTTGCAACAGAATGATATGTTCAGAGTATTTCACGGGCTGAAATTCTATCTGAAGATCCTCTATCTTCAATCCTGATGCAGGTGTTGACCAGTAGCTTTGATCATAAGATTGCATTTGGGTTTCTTGCTTCAAGTGTTTTCTCCTGTCAGGTTTGTGTCTTCATATAATGTTAGTTGTCTGTGTCCTTGTGAAGAAAGGTCACCTTCTGTGTATCCTACCAATAATTCTGGAATTTTAGCAAGAAATTTGGGAGGAGAAAAAGGTATTAGGAAAAGAAACAGTAAGAAGCATAATATCAACATAATTGAACCAATCCGAACTGTGATTTAAGGCATTTTCAGTAAGTTACAAAGTGTGGAAGAATATCATACTGAGGGGTCCTGAAATCCTTTTTCCTAGAGCATGTCCAGCACAGGCAGAAACTCCATAAAAACTAACAATATCCAACCTCCTAACGGGGGAGGCAGGGCAGCTGCATCTCCATCCTGCTCAAACACCAGCATCTGTCTGCTATGAGCCAAATTTACATCAACAACTGAGTAGTTATTGAAATCTTCACATGCTAGAAACAAGATATAGAAACAGGGTGTTATTTTCTCTTTTCTAATGCAAAGGCAGTTAAAAACCTTTACCATAAATTCTTCAACAATTTATTTTGGTTTTAAAAAAGTATGCAACTGCTGTACTGTAAAAAGTAATCAGGATGCCAAGACTAGCAAGAATTAAACATGTCCACAAATAAAAGCTTGATAATGGTCTGCCCTCTCAGGGTTAGTGGCATTGAACAGTTTCGTCTCAGGAAAATGACATATTTAGATTCTGGGTATAGAAGAAGCAGCATTATCTGTGAAGCTGAGACCTATGAAACTGTAATTCGATTTTGACTTTGATCTGTGTATTCCTATTTCTAAAATAAGCAAGAGACAGTATCTAATTTAATCACTGCTGCTACAGACAAGCATTACCATATACCTTAAGAGTCTGTACTATTTTAAATGAACTATCTTGTACTGCACTGTTTGGAGCATTTGGAGACACTGGTTTGTTTTGTGAAGCTGCACGCACTGCTTTTTAAATCTTACCTATCTTCACTAACACAGACTGTGAATTAAGAGCTAGCAATCTCTGCTGGGCAGAAGATACAAGTTAAAATGACCAGCCTTAGGGCAGACAGCAAACCTCTGTGAGATGAGAAGCGTCTCTAACTGTTTTTACCAGCATTGGGAAGCAATACGTGGATTTTTAAATGAACAAAAGTGATATTTAGACCACTTAAATATGTATAATTAATCTCAATTATTCTTGGCTTATCTAGCACGCTGCTAACTACTCCTCTGATGTTTCGCCAAGAAGGCTACCTGAGCCAAGAGTTTTATCCATAAACAAAAACACATGCAAAAGAAGAGAATTTCACTAAAATCTCCTTATTGTTATAAAACTACACAAACCTGCATAATTTGCTTGTGCTCGGAAATATGAAAGTGCTTGGCAACATCAAGAAGTTTATACCAGTGGCAGCACCATAGCTTAGAATAAACATATCATCTTCCAAATGTTAGCCAACAGAATGCAACAACCAGATGCAACGTTACCCCAGGCACCCCGCTGCAGACAAGAGACGTACCTGGCTGGTGTTCACATATGACCCATAGGGTTGGTAGTTTCACTCAGGCCAGGGTGGCTTCCTGGGTGTGGTGTTGGCGGCTCTGCCGATACGGCAGAAACTTTTTCTTCTTCCCTTCTCTTAAGGCAGGCTGCTTTAGGGTTTAGGTTTCGTTCTGTAACAGAAAATTAACATCCCATAGGCTGATACCAAAGGGAGTGTCAACACTGTCACTGCAGTAAAAATAGCAATGCAGCATCCCTGAGTACTTAAAGGCGTGTGTTAAAGCACAGGTTCCTAAAGCTGCAGACAGGCTCTGCTGAAAATCCAGCCCTGCAGCTCCCAAATTGGTATTTGAAAAAAAAAAAAAAAGAGCTTACTTCCTGCCTACATACACCTTCAGAAACACTGGAAAAGGAAGTGCCTCTCTTTTCACAGAAAGTTACAAATGCTACAAATGCAAACTGATAAAAATTTCCTGTAATTTGTAATGAATTAAAGAATTTTGAGTTCTGTTGATAGCTGAAGTCACACCAACCCTTCTGACATCACACAGCTTTTAGTAACATTTCTGCTTCTTTCTTTACCTTCAGTATTAGCTTGCTCTGAGAGCAGGAGAGGTAGAATTTCTAAAGTCAACAATTCTCTTTATACCTCAAGTCTGTGAAATCATCCAGCGCCCATCATCAGATTCTTCAGATTTAGCCACTGAGAGCAAGAGGAATTTGTTACCCTATTTCCTGTCCCATTGTACAAAGAACTTTCTTTAACAGCCAGCTGTGAGCTATCGAAGCACTTGCAGCAGCATGCTTCCACTTCTCCAATCAGCTTCATAGATGGAGATGTGGATCTAGTTTTCAAATAATTGACAGGTTCTAAAACTCAACCATTTCTGTTCTTCAAAAAGCTTTTCATGAATTAGAATATAAAAGACAAATCTTAGTGGCCAGAAAGACAAAAGGTATGTAATATATTCTGTCAGTTGAAAGAAATGATTTTCTCCCCAGTACATATGAATTTAATCAACATGCTGGGGTATTTTTCTAGCTATCGGCAACACTATTTTGCACCTTAAGATTGCAGGTACAATTTTAACTGTGAAGACACTGCCAAAACTGACCAGGCAACAGCAGCTCATTTCAAACCTCTAGCCCTTCTCTTCACGGAAGTCCCTCTATTAGCCACAGTTTGCTGACCCACGTTCATTTTACAGGGTGCTTCTCTAGCTAATTTGACAGGCAATTTTGCACAGACTTGCTAATTCTGTTTTCACCCAAACCATTATCAACAGCTTCCCACTGGAACTCCTAAGGAACATCACTCCCAAAGAGTCTGCCCAGAAACAAATGCTAACTTCTCTTAACTAGAGGGCTTTTTTGTAGGTTTCATGTAGGTTTAAATGTAGTGGCCTTGGAGTTTTATGAAAGATTTAATTATGTAGAAACTTCAGAAAGGAAGTTAATTTGGAGATTAAAAAAACGCTAGCTTACAGTTATAAGCTTAACATCTGAAATGTGTCATTTTGAACAGCATCAATCACAAAATGAGAAGATGCATTACCAACAGAGAGGAAATGGTTGATGCCATTATATAACACAATGGTTAAATCTCCTCTGGATGCCACACAAAGCTGTGGTCACTGTTTCAGGATACTTAACAGAGACTAGAATGGTACAAGGAAAGACTGGGTGAGATGAAGCAGGGAACACAGCCTTCAAATGCACAGCAAGTAGAGCACAAGGTGAGATGCATACACGAGGAAGGGAAAGTTCTCAGATTAATCTGTCTGCAGAGTAAATCCAAATTAATTGCAAGTATGTTTAGGGAAAAGGTTTCTAACAGTGCTACAGTTTGGAAGCAGCCTCTGACCAAAGCCAAAGTGATTTCCTTCATTTTTACACAGCCTGCTTGATGCTTTTTAACCACTAAAAGCCATTAATATTCTTCTGACTTCATAATGGTCAATCTCATCTTGCAGAGAAGAAAGAGCATTTTCAAAAAAACCCCAAGGTCAAAGTCTCAGAAATGCTAAGATTAGCTGCTATCTGATCTGCAGAGTAACACCAATTTCTGCATATGCTTTGCAAAAATTCTGACTAAGACACTGCATTTATTTCAAGCTAGGTCAGTAGAGCTGCCCAAAAATCCTTTGCACATTATCCTTACTGCAAAATACATAAAAGCTTGCATTAGGTCACTCACTTTGTCACTCTGCACTGACATTTAACAATTGCTTTGTTCCACTGCAAGCAG